TGCCCTTTATACACATACCACTTGCCTTTCTACCTTGAGGTCCTCACTAGAAGCCAAGATGCCTTCACCATAATCTTAGACTTTCCAGGCTTCAAAATCGTGAGCCAAAATAAATCTCTTTATAAATTATCAAGACACAGTATTCTACTGCTACAGCAGAAAATGAAAGAAGACAGTAAAAAGAAGTCAAACTTTGATCTTTCATCTCTGTGTTTCATTATTTCTGTGTAAAATAATTTTTCTGTGTAAAATAATTTGTTCAACAGAAGGTTTCCACTTTTTAAGCCGTGCAATGGCGCAGTTGGTGGATGAGGGCTTCAAAGTTTAAACTGACACCTCACCTCCCCAGAGTTTCACTGCTTGAAAGATTCTCATCCTTTAAGAGAAGGGAAGGAAAAATAGAAGTTTAGAAGTTGCAACGGGTGATAGGGAATGTCACCTGTCATCAAACAGGGAAATTTTCAATTCTAAATTGTGGTGGGAGGAACTCCATCCCTAACACTAGCTCTGTAAGAAACCAGTAAGTGAGTATATCGAATTGGCCATCATCTCCAAGACTGACATGGTCCAGGATACCTGGTGTGCACATATATGCCACAAATCAAGTGCCCACAAGGTACTGGACTTCTGGAGTAGCTAGAGGTGCCAGTGGGTGTCCATAATAAGAAAAGCAGTGGCTGAACCACAAGTGAGCAGCATAGTAAAGCTAACTGGAAATGGCCCAGGACTAACTGTGGTTTCTATGCTGCACTTGAGTCAGAGCACCTATTTAGCTATGCAAAAATGAATAAGCAAGCTTCATGAACTAAAATGTAAAGAAAATAAGAAGCAAAAATCTAGTTTAGCTTCACAAATTGAGAAAAGCAACAAGGACTAGATTTTTATAAAACTATAAAACAGTACTAAAAATAGACATGGGCATACTCAGAGCTCAATACAATTAACCAAACAAGGTTAACATGTTTTCCAAGATAAAGTTTTTGGCAAAAACAAAGTAATTGGTCCTGTCAAGTCCTTGGACTGATCACTAGGAAGGGTGAGGTATGCCCTTGTCATGAGCCTTGCACCTGGCTCTGCATAACCCAGTTACCTCAGATTCAGCAGAAAAAAGCCAGAATAATTCATCAAAAAAAAGTTTGAAGAAATGCTAGATAATAGCATTCTGATGAGTAAACAGATTTGTGACATCTCTCCCCAGAGGACAAAACAGGAAGATGCGAGTTTAAGCCCAACAGGAAGGATTCTACATTAAATACAAAGAAAAATTTCTGACTGAGGGATAGGAGATGAGCTACACAAGAGGAAGCCAAAATTTCCACCCTGAAGTTGAATTTTTGCTTGGTCTGTCATTTCTGAGTCCTGAGAGTTCGTATACTTGGACGAACATCCAGTCTGAGTGTCACTTAAGCCCTGCTCACCTCGGGGATTCCCCAACATGTTCTTCCTTCTCACATTATTTCCCACCATGTTCTCTAAATTATCTCACCTGAGTGTCACTAGATTGTCACCCACCTCTCAAAACCCTAATTCCCCCACCTGCTGTTAATATCACAGTGCAGCATACTTTTCAAATAATTTGCAATCATGTCTTCAGCTTAATTGTGTCCCCCTCCTCCTCCAAAAATTTGTACACTGAAGTCTGAACCTCAGGTAACCTCAGAATGGAACAATATCTAGGGTTAGGGTCTTTAAAGAAATAATTAAAGGGCCAGGTATTTAGCTCAGCGGCATAAGCACCTGCCTGGCAAGTGTGAGGTCCTGAGTTCAATCCCCGTTACCGCAAAAAAAAAAAAAAAAAAGAAAGAAAGAAAGAAAGAAATAATTAAAGTGAGGCCATTAAGGTAGGCCCTAATCCGATCCAACTGATGTCCTTATTAAAAAAGAGGAAATTTGGACACACAAAGACATCAAAGATGCATGCTCACAGAGAAAAGATCATGTGAGGACAAAGAAAAGGCAGCCATCTAGAAGCCAAGGACAAGAGGCCTTAGAATAATGAACCCTGCCAATACCTTAGTCTTGGGCATCTACATTCCAGATCCATGGGGAACAAATTTCTGTTCTTTAAGCCCCACACTCACCAGAGTGTGGTACTTTGTTATGGCTGCCCCAGCAAACCAATAGGTTGTGTGCATTATCTTCAGTATGAGTTTGGTATAGATGAGTCCTTGTCTATCTTGTTCCCCAGGCATTTCTAGCATGAAGATCTGCACCTGGAAAACCACAGACACTGAAGGGATAAATAAAGTAATAGAATTTCTATTTTTAAGTAAAGATAATTTGAGCCAAATAGGTTTAATGCAGCAAAAGGAAGTCTGGAATTTGAACTGAAATCCTTGCTCCCAGCAAACTAAATGCATTGACTCCTCTCTGGCTTCAAAGAATGCCCTAGAAAACAGAGATGTCAACAGACGCACGAACAAACCCCACTGTGTCTCACGCCAAGTGCTGAAACTGATATTGCATTTTTTGAGGACAAGTCTCTTCCTCTGAATGAATATGTAGAATTTCTGAATAACTTTAGTTTGATGAAATTATCATATATTGAACTACTTCTCAGAACAAGAGCATAACATATTTTCCAAGTTTCGAAAAACTATATAAATACATGTTAATCATTTAGTGATGATTTCTTATAAATTATTATTGTCATTAACAATAAAATGTGACATTTTCCTGAAGCATTTTTAGCCAAGTCTAGGAAGTTTAGATACTCATGGATTGTTTGGCTTTGGTTTTAAAATTCTACTTTTTTTCATATGCTGCCAATGGTTTCAGCTAGCAATTTCTTCTAGAATCTTTCTATCACAATATACAGCAAATGGAGCATAGGCTACTATAGCAGAATGCTTTGGTAACCAAAGCCTGAAAAGATTTCTGTGGAGAGAGCTTAAATAATCTCATAGATTAAGACATCAACAATGAGCTGAAGCATAATTGTCCCCAATCCTTGGCCCTCAGAATTTCTGTCATGCTTTCCTCAGAAAGATTGCATGCACATGTGTATGCACCATGCATGTCCACACCCTCACATATGCACACATTTCCATTAAACTGAGAAATTAATTACCAATGAAAAAGCAAGAAAACTACTTCTTCAAAAACCAATATCAGAAAGAAATCTTTATGAGGAAGATTATAAAAACAAAGTGATCCCTTATACTACAAAAATATTATTTCAAATGCAAGGCCTGTACATTTGTTAGTAAAATATTTTGTTAGTAAAATATTATGTGTGGGTATTCAGGAGTAAACACCTTTGAAATAAACATCTTAGGTCTTCAGTAGTCTCTCCACCACCCCTTATCCATAGCTTTGCTCTCCTGGTTTCAATTACTGTGGCCCGAAATATTAAATGGACAATTTGATAAATAAATAAATAAATGTTTTAAATTGCACCCTATTCTGCACAGTGATGAAGTCTCATTCCATCTCCTTCCATCCTGCCCAGGACGTGAACCAGCCCCTCTCTAGCATAGCCCTGAGTTATACAGTACACCCTTACTAGTCACTAATAGTTTCTAGTGCATCAGCTCAACTGTCACAGTATCTGCATGCTTTTGTTCAACTAACACCTGTGTAGTAGCTTAATGCTCCATCACAATGCCTACATCATCCTCTTTAATTCATCTCATCATGTGTGCACTGTATCATCTCACATCATCACAAGAAAAATGGTGAATACCATGCAGTAAGCTATTTTGAGAAACAGCATGAGAGGTCACATCGGCATAACTTTTATTATAGTGTGCAGTTGTAACTTCTGTTTTGTCATTATTTATTGGTGTTAATTTCTTATTGTGCTGAATTTATTACTTAGAAATCATCATAAATAGATATATGTGGCCAAAAATTGTACACATAGAGCTCAGTATTATCTGTGGCTTCAGTTGTCTGTCCCTCTTCCTCCCTCTCTCTCTCTCTCTCACTCTCTGTCTCTCCCTCTTCCTCTCTCTCTCTCTCTCTCTCTCTCTCTCTTTCTCCCAATCTTTTCCTACACCAACTCTCACTCTATACCATGCTTTCTAAATCCATGTCTAGCTCTCACTTCCTTCTTCCAAATTTCATTCCACCTTCAATCACCTACAAGACAAGTCCACACACCCCCACAGTCATCTCAATACCAACAAGTCTTAGCAAGAACGTACCACATTTTCCCAAAGTCAGTTTCTTTTGCTGATTACTTTACTCTTCTACCACTTTTTACATAAAAGGGAATTTGAGAACCTTCTAATGTAGGAAAACTGATTTGAGGAGCAATTATGGCTAATAGTCCCAAAATACTCACCTTCTTCTCAACATAACATCAGATGGATGTACTCATACACACCGTACATGGAAATAAAACATAGCTCCTCACCATACTGCCTGTGGGATACTGCCCAAACACATTCTGAAATAACTGCATTGGTTGTGCATTATTTTTTCACCATTAGTTAAATATATTCAAGAAAAACACACAAAAAACGTCAACACTTCTCTCAATAAGCAAAACAGAATGACCAGACATCAACACCCAAGTGATAAAACGCACATATATACAAATATGGAGCAGAGATGGAAGGCCGGGTATCTAATGTATCACAAGTATCCCAGAATTATCAGAAAAGAGAGCAAGACTTGAGGCAACGTATTAGCCAATACAAGCTGCAGTTTTATGGTTCTCATTCATTTACGCCATTCACAGGTAAAAGAGTTGGAAAAATCCTCATCAGGACAATACTACCATCTCGACCACCATATTTGCCTGGCAATGGGGTGACAATCTCCCCAAATACAAACACAGACACTTTACTGGTGAGGACACAAAGGAACAACACAAAATGAGTGACAATGACGCGGAGCAGGCAAAATGCTAATTGACCAGAACTGTGTGGCACGTGTGTTAGTTTAGCGATGAAACAAAATGAAGGTTTGTGAGCACATGTGTGTGACAGAAGCACATCCCTCTTGCAAGATGTTGCTTCAGTGAAGACATGAACCGAATGAGCAAGTAGTACCTGTGACGGTTTCATTAAATGGTTCTGGACCCTTAATGGGAAAACCATCAATCTTGATCCATTCACCTCCTAAATTAGGAAAATGCAACTGGATAGTTAGAAACAAGGATGATTGGACTTTCCATATTTCAGTGCAACCTTAATGATTAGGTAAATAGTATTCAAGGTACTAGTAGTATTCAAGGCTTTCAACCGTATTGAAGGCTTTAGGGACTCCATGATTTTGGGTCTTCCACATAAGATTTAGCCTAGTTAACACTAAAAAAGCTCAGGCAAAACACTTATGGTCCACATTACAACTGCTGTTAAAAGAGGGCAAGTCTTTCCTATCCTTTGGCTAGGTTTGCTATCCTTTGGCTTGCTACATGAGTCCAAAATGTTGTCTTTCAGGAATTCTTTAGCAATTCTAAATTCATATTGACTTGAAGAAGTAAGGAAGGAGATCTCTCCCTATTTAAGTACCGAAACCACAGCCTCCAAACTCTAGATAAGACTTACCAGGTGGACTTTCAGCTCTGTAAACTGGACGGCTCATTCCATTGTGGTTTTCTGCAGTAACCAGCACAAAGTACACTACCCCCGGCTCTGAAATACATGGTTTACATCAAGCCACTGTTTCAAATCTCCAAGAATGACACAGTCTGATTCACTATTTCTTTATTCTGATCATAACCATATATGAAAATCCTCCCTAAGTGACATGTCTAACGATACCTTTGTTTTGGGTTTCTTTACTAAAATCACTAATATTTTTATGCAATTGAAACACACTTGACCTAAAGAAAACAAACTTTATTTAGTACAAGTACACAGCATATGTGACAAATCTGGACTTACAAGCAAGCAACAAAGGAGCTTTTAAGATTTTTAATGTGAACTCAATATAAGACACAGGAACTTATAGTCTGCTAGTGGTATTGGAGCATACGGGTCAAAAACTGCTAGTGATAATTTATTTCCCCATGGAATCTCCAAATAAAATTCTCCAGGGAGAAAAAAAAAGAAATGTCAATGTGACTCATAAAATATAGCATATAGGAATTCTTCATAAAGCTTTGTGAAACTTTTTTACAGTTAAATGTCCACCAGGCTATATGTGTGGGTTACTTTTTACTATTTCAACGAAAAGCTAGAAAAATATTTTTCTGAATGCTTGGAATAATTGGGTCTCATTCTTTTGTACTTTTGTCTTAGAATCAAGATCACATAGCAGTGTTCTCTTTAGCTGAGCTCCTAATGCTGGAATTCAAAAGTAAATTAAGACACCATGGTACAAAAAGAGCACACCCTGAATTTGCACTTTGAAAATCAAATCTCTAGTAGCACTGGTTTTCCTCAAAATGAATTGTTATCTTCTCACAGGTAATTAAGTAGCCAGTTCCATGAAGAGATGAAAGTTTGTGGGCATCGTAGGAGGTGAAGGGTTGGTGAGACAAGAGTTCTATCAAAGGCAGCAATGATAACATTTCTCAAAGTGGGGAGTGTTCCTTTGACAAAATCTCAATGAGTTCTCAAGCCTGAGTAGAAGACCAGTGACTGGACCAACCCAGTCTGTGACCCTTGCTGTGACTTCTATCTAAATATGGCAGGGTCTGGTTGAATCTGTGGTTTGGCACAACCTGCTAGTCTAATGGGGGAAGCCTCCAGGTTCGGAGAGAATGCAAAACCATGCTCACCAGGTGCTTTCTTCACTGAAGAAAGAGAGTATTTGTATTTCAAAGAAATGTAATCTATGTCTTTACATCTCATATAGTTAATGCACAAAGTTATCTGAGAGGCACTATATTTTAGCGGCTTCTATATCTTTCTTTTTTCCTGTTTTCCTTCTCTGCAGCAATCATAATAACCTAAGGCTTGAGCAAATATAACCCACTCATGCCTGCAGTATGATAGAATCTCCATTGAGTCTCACAGCTGGGCTTTGGGAGTCACAATGATGCGAAGGAGATTTGGGAAAATGCATCTGTAGCCAGGAGGACAAGAACCTACCTTCTTTTATCTCCCTTCTGCTCCATTACTCAGAAAAAAGCCAATACTGAACTGCAAGAGGTGGAGGGCTATAGTTTTGGTCAGTGTTGAGGAACCATGAGCTGGTCACACTCCATTAAAGGATCAAAATACTAACATGATACAAGGGGCACCTGTTTTTCTCTATGCTGACCTCTATGAGCTCTCATGATTCACCCTGATTGTATCCCAACTACAGGAATCAAAAACAGAAGAAAGAAGATGAAGAGCAAGTAGCCAAAACCTAAGTCCAAACCCTCTGCACCTGCACTAATAAAACAATATACACTGAGGCAAGATTTTAAATATATTTAACTTCTAGAATCAAATTAAAATAAAATGCAAATGAGTAGAAAGGTTAAATCTTTAATTGGGTGTGGCTAAGCATAACATTCTACATACACCTTTATGGGGGCATGCTATAATTGATCCTTGAACAATTTAGGGGTTGGGGGCACCAACTTCTGTGCAGTCAAAAAGCTGCATATAACTTTTTCCTCCCCAAAATTTTTCCCGAAGCCTCCCTGATAACATAAGCAGCTGAGTAACACACATATTGTATCTTATGTGTATTATATCTGATGAAAGATAAGCAAGGACCAAAAATTCATTTTCTCTGGTGATGTACTATTTAGTGGGAAAGTGAAGAACATCACAGGGGAGCATTTTAGGTGAGTATCTGTCAACTCTTGGGCTTACTGCATACCACCAAGAGGTGGGACATTTTCTGTGGTTATGGTTTAATATCTCATCTTTATTTTTGTTTATATTTCTCTCCACTGAAAAGCTTGTTGTATGTGATTTGTAAATTTGTGCATAAGTTTTGGTAAATTTCAACCCTTTATAGAATGGTGCAGATTTTATTGTAAATAATAGCAGATTATTATCTACATATATTTATGAATTCATGAGATATTTAACTTTTTCTTAATTTTTTGATATTGCTAAGCTTTGTGGCTCTGCTGCAAGTTTTTCAAATTGTTTGCAAAATCTCCAAAAGCTATTCACCTGTAAGTGGACCCCCTTGGTCCATGTTGTTCAAGGGTCAGCCATAACAAAAAGAGAAAAGACGACCAGTATATTTTCCAAAGCACATTCATAAACAAAATATTATTTGCTATTTCAATTAGAAGAGCAGGATACTTAGTCCAAATATGTAAATGAGAAGCTTAGGGAAAAGAATAAGCCCACTAACCAATAGTCTCATGATGAGAGATTCAGAAGTTGATTACTGGTTCCAAAGAATCACAGATACCTCAGGCCTAGCCATCCTGTCTCACAAATAATTATCCTAAACAGGTAACTGAGAATTTGGGGGCACAGTTAATTCTGACTAGTAACAAGAGCGCGGTGTCACTTACCCACATCCTCAATAAGGAAAGAGTATGTCTCCGCATTCACTTTGATGTACTTAAGACTTTTCAGTGACTTCCCATAGGCAATGTTGTAATGCTCCACAGGTCTACTGGTAGCATCTTTGGGTGGGTCCCATGTGACTTTCAGGCCCATTTTAGTGGACAGCAGTTTCACGTGCCTTGGCTTCAGTGGGTGGTCAACTACGTAAAAGGCGCAGCTATCAACTTATGGCAATGGCAGGTTGGGAAAAAGAACTTTTTTGAATGTTCTCTGATGTTAGTAAAAGATTAAATGACATTAGATCTGTTTGATCCTACAGACTAAGTACTGTCATGTTTGCACATTGTTACAATATGACATCAAAACAAACATACCAAACCCACATGCCTTTATATATTTTGGGTAACCATGGGTGGTAAATTTAAACCAACAGTGAAACAAATCAAAATAAACTCCAGGCATTCTCTGTCTTGATTACACTGACATGTCAATGCAAGAAAAACAGATGAAAAACTTGACATCTCCTCCAAAGACATGCTTATATTAATACGTTTTTAGTACTTTATATCATAAGCTGAACCTTTAAGAATAGCATAATGATCATGATTAAGAAGAATACCTGTTGAATTCAAAGTGAGATAATTGAAACATTCATTTCCACAAGAAAACAAAGCAAAGCCATCGCATACTTAATAGGAAAGTAAAACTTTTTATCTCTATGTACCTAATTCAAATGTCTCCATATTGTCTCCCAGAGGAAAAATAGATTATTAATAAGTTATTTATCTTCAGTTATGAAATTCTAAACATAATTTTTGACTTTCAAATGAACCAAAATGAAGCAGAATGTTTTGTCAAACAAGGCCTCTTAGCTCACTATGTAACCAATATTGTAATGTATTGCAATATAAATACATGCTACATTTTCATTCAACAGTCCAACAAATTTTTGGTAAACTTGGATCTGAAAATGACACAAGGCACTCTCAGAAAATAAAAAATCATAAGAGAGAGACTTAGTAACATTATGGAAAATGTATTTGAAATCTCATTAAAGAAAGAGAATGATGGCACATACATTGGTTAGTATGAGATTTTAATACTGAATGAAAATTCTGAGTGGAATAAACACAGATGATTCTCACATGCCTTGATCATTCCTTTGAGCATTGCTCCACTGCCTCTAGAGTAAAACAAGAGTGATCCCCTGAGAAAATTCTTCAGAGAAACACAAAGTACGAATGAGGAGTCTGAACTGGATGATCTTAAAGCATTAGAGAGAAGTTGTCTATTGCAAAGACAATGTCTGACTATGTGCACAGACCAAAATCCACAAAGATTTCCCACCTAACTCCAGAAGCGTGGCTCCTGTAACCCTCTGATGAAAACTCACAGGTAAGTAACCTGATGCCGCGGACTTCACAGACCACCACACCAGTCACTCGCTGAGCATCTAAAATGAGCCACTGTGGCACCTGTTTTATAATTTCCTTTCACCCTTGGTTTTGTGCCAAATACCTCAGCAAGACTCTTTCCCAGGAATCCAACATTTCACTGGACCAAAAGAAGCAAAGAAAATACCCGAAACTGCAAAAGAAATGATAGGTGTGTGATTTTTCTCAAGGAAAAAAATAAGTGAATATGTGAAGAAAGCTTTTCTTTCCCACTTGAGTCCTAAATGTCTCTTAAGAAAAGTCTGTTCCTGAACAAACAGTCTGAAATGTGAGACCTATGAAATCCAAATACCGCCACACACTGGTGATTCAGTCAGTACACAGAAACCTACACCAAAAAAGAATGATTTGCTTTTATTACTGATACCTGAAAAAAATCTACAAATCTACACATACACACATTTTTATTCCCTGATTTTTTTGTATTATTCTATTTACTATAACAAAATACCTAAGACAATTAAATTATAAAGAGGAAAGGTTGCTGGCATGCCTAGATACTTGTAATTCCAGGACCCTGGGAGGCTAAGACAGGAAAATCATAAGTTTGAACCCAGCTGGGCAATTTATGGATTAGTGAAACCTTGTCTCAAAATTAAAAAACACAAAAGATCTAACTAAGTATACAGCTCAGTGCAAAGGTCCGGAGGTCAATCTTTGGTACGATAAAAATAGAGAGAATGTTTATTTTGGCTTACAGTTTTGTGGGTTTGGTACATAATTAATTGGCTCCAATGATCTTGGATCTGTGGTGAGGCAGCTCATCATGGTGGGACCATGTAGTAGAACAAAGCTACTTACTTTCCTGTGACCAGGAAGCAAAAGAGAGAAACTGCTGGAGTCCCACTATTATCTTTAAATACCTCCCAGTGACCTAAGAGCAATGGTTCATTAACCCCCAGCTCCTAAAGATTCCACCATCTCCTGAAAGTTCCACAGATTGGAGACTAAGTGTTTAAGACATGGCCTCTGGAGATTTATAGAAACATAGGAGCCTTACATTTATGCTTGAAGACAGTATCAGAGAATCTGTAACTCACACAGGAGCCCATATTCAAATGGACACATCAGTCCAGTACAAACAGAGCCATTCAAATCCATCAAGGAGCTTCAATAAGATGACCAAAGGACAAATAGTGGCTCTGGTTGCCAAAATCCAAGGAATGTCATTTCACCTTCCCATTCAGTCAAGCTTCCACGTATCTCTGTGAATGGCTTTGTTTGTCCTCTTCTAGTCAGGGACAAACACTATCAAAGTGTATAACTCACTCAACTCAGTAAAAGCCTGTGTAGCATTTATTTGTATGTTAGAGAAAAGGCGTAAGATGTGCCAGGCATAATGGTACCATCTATCATCCCAGCACTCGGAGGCCGAAGCAGAAAGACTGCAAATTTGAGGCCAACCTGGGAAACTTAGTAACTTAGACCCTGTCTTAAAATTTAAAAATGAAAAGGGCTAGAGAAATAGCTCAATGCAGAGGCCCTAGACTCAATCCCCAGTACTGCCTCCCTCCTAAAGGCACAAGATATGAAACTACTTTAAAACATAAAAATAAAATGGATGGGAAAGGGTCTTATTGAGTGGCAACCATGTGCCTCTCACTACTCTAACATTAAACTCATTAGCGATGAGAAAATAAAGGCCTAGAAGAGAAGTCAGGTGAACTTCCCAGAATCACACAGCTGCACTAGGAATGCAGCCAAGTGCATTCCTCACTCCAAAGCCTGGCCTATGAACTCCAGGAATCTGTCCCTGACCATAAATGACCAATCATACTGCTGAAACCTATCCTAAAGCAAACTGTGAGGTCTCTGTGGTTGAATTTACCATTTCCACAGTTTTCCTCAACCTACAGTCCTACACTTACCCCGTGAAGTGGGGCATTGCCCTCTCCTGCCCCTCCGGGAGGAATAGGGAAAGTGGCCAGTGTGCTCTCTTGGGAACATTTGAATCCCTAGGACAAATCTTTCACCAAAGGAGTGACTTTTGTGGTAGCATTCTAGGCCTTACAGCATTGGCCGGTGGAAACTGTTTTTGTTGTTGTTGTTGTTGTTGTTGTTGTTTTTTAATCGGTACCGGGGATCGAACTCAGGACCGCCTGCTTGCAAGGCAGGTGCTTATGTCACTGAGCTAAATCCCCAGCCCGGAGACTGTTTTTGAAACAGACTTTCATTTCCTAGGTTCACATCAATTTAGGCTTTGAAATGGATGGTGTATACGTATATGGGGGGGGTGCTTCCTAGTAAATATCATTCACAATTAACTCAGAAAGAATTGACCAAAAAGCACAACAGGAATGCTGATAAAAGCAATCTTGTTGATTTCTTCATGATTCTACCATGAGCAACAGAGTAACAGACTTTCCGATATTAGGAACCCAAACGCTGGAACAAAGCAACAAGTGAAAAAGATGGAGGGAAGTAGATCACAAGGATCCAGCAAGACCAAGGCCACAGCTCAGGAAAGGGAGATGTCAGGCAGAACTTTCCCCTGAGTCTCAGCTCTTGGCATGGGAGAGGTGGCTCTAACCAGCAGAGGCATGGTAACTGCTAGCAACCCCAAAGGCCACCATGGAGAAAGCCACCAGTGGAACAGAGCAGTGGACACTGTGAACTACAAAGGCTGGTGAGTTATTTGGGTTCAGACCCCACCCCACACCCGGGCAATTGGTAGTAGCCATTTGAGAAAGGAATCAACTGAAGTCAGGACTCAGAGCAGCTGCAGGTTGGCTCCATCTAGAAGCTCCAAGTGTCAGGGTGAGCTGAAGCCAATTTCAAACCAGCAGGAGGTCAGGAAGCTGAGTTCAAGCCAGCAGAAAACACTCAAGAGTGTTGCAGGCTGAAAAACTTAGGTCTCAGCCTCACAGAAGCTGCCTGAACTTTAGTGGAACTAAAGGCCCAGGTTTACTGGGATTATCCACCACCACCAGAATTCCACGGCAGGCATACAGGGATCAATCAACACGGATATGGGGTCTGTCTGCCCCAGCTGTCAACCAGTGACAATGAAGGCATACCCTGAAGTGCATATATTTTTTTGTTTTTCTTCCTTTCTTTGTTTTTATATTTTATTTCATTTTCTTTTTCTTTTTTTTTTGTTTTCTTTTTTCTTTTTTGTTCTTTTCATGCAAATGAGAACACTTTCTAGTTTGCTGTTGTTTTGTTCTTCTCTTGTTCCTATTTCTTCTTTCTCTCCTATCTTCTTCACCAGTTCCCCAAGCTTACATAAGCTTCCTTTGTCCTCCAGCCTTGCTTCTAATCCTTTTTTCTTCTATTTCTCTAGTTTTTTTCCCTAACCCATTCTAAATTTTCTCCCCTCAGGGTAAAAGTGCCATATTGGGGACATATTTACCATACACAGTTTTCTATTTGTTTTATATTTGCTATATAACTATAAATCATATGACAGCCAGCAAATTAATAGCTATCACAGTTTTTCATTTCCTAGACTGTGTTTCATGCTACTGTTAGTACTGCTTGTGTTACTTCAGCTAAGGTGACATAATTGTTCTAATCATTTTTTCTTTTATGCCAAGACTGAGAGTGGCTGAGGGACACAAAGCAATACTACAGGCCAGTGCCAAAGAACCAGAGACTAGGTTAGATAGCCTACAACTTATTTCCAATAAACTGAAGAGGTAGAATCCTGCAACAGACTAAAAATCTAAAAGCCAGAGCTGGAGATTTAGCTCAGTGGTGCAAGCGCCTGCTTGGCAAGCTCAAGGTCATGAGTTTGATCCTCAGTC